CATTTTTGGTTGTTGGAATGACCAAACATTCTTCGTCGAGGGTGTGTTGCTTAGTTATTTTTTGTTATGTTTAGCATAATAATAACATTTTCAACTATTTAATTCAAACAATATACATTTGCTTCATGTTGTATGCATATCTTGTAATCAAAGAACAACGTCAATGCCAGTACAAAAGTCAATCTCAAATTAAATGCTCCTTTGTATTGCGAGCTTGATATTACTTTTATGGATCGGTGGCATGAGTTATTCAGTCTTCGTAGAAAATTCAGTAACTCCGCATCCCATAGCGGTCAATTTCGTAAACAGAACTCTAATGTAAGCATTAGTTGACTAAAATTGTGCATTTAAAGTTTACAGAACGTATACTCTTTGACATAACAATATTTAATAGACCATGCAGGGAATTTTCCGGCAAACATTAGAAGAACCAAGTTCATCTTCGCAAGATCTTGCACTTAAAGTTAATGTTGCTTATCTTATCATGTCAGTTCGGTAAGGCGATCTACCTAATGTTTTCGTGAAAAAATTGTAATTTCTTTGTCATTATATATTTTTACTAGTTTTCCCATCGCTGACAAGCGACCAAGCTATGACCCTTGTCGTCATCAGTGGTGGCAGTACTCTCTTAGGGAAGAAAGGCTGATATTAAATTTTTCAAAGATTGAAGCGGATATCTCGAGAAATTCAGATGACAATATTTTGTACGATTTCGCGTTTAAAGATATGAAAGGTGATATTATATATTTATGTGTCCATATGTGTATATAAGCAGCTACTTGATAGCAAACATAACTTAATAAAACTAGCTAATGAAACTAAATGTCTTTTGTAATGTAACGAAATTCTAGGTTACATAGTGACTGCTGATGATGGCGACCTAATTCAGCTACTTACAACTGATGTTAATCAAAGTTCAGGTGAAGAAATAGATAGGGATCTAGTATCGTCTAGGTGAGATGCAGTATTAAACAGTTTATTATTATTTTTTAACTGAATTATATCTGTGTACACGAGTATCTAATTCACTAAACCGTGTTTAATTTGATCTGTTGAAGGATTATAATACATGTACAAAATCCTCAAAGGATATCTGCGTTAGAAGATTCCGAAATACGGGAAACGCAGTCTCAGAATGCAGATAGTGAATTTCAATTACCTAGAAGTGAACCATCACCGTTTTCTAGAAAACAAGTAATATACGAAGCTGAAAAAGTAAGCTTTTATTGTGTGTAATACTTTATTTGGGTGCTAGATTTGTCTTATACTAAGAGCTCCCTAATTTACAAATAAATCTTCCCTTCTGTTATTTTTTATAAGCTTATTGTTGCTGGCGATGAAGCGGAAATGATAGAATTTCAAGAAAGTGCATCTTCTACTGCAAGAGTACATATTGAAATTAGTTTACCAGATGTAGAACTGTTCCTTCCTGATCACAATACGTTGGAGTTATTATATAATAGGTTAGCAATTGCTTTGAGAATTCCCATGGCAAGTATTGCAAATTGACGATAAGTTCATTACTTTAATATTATACTCGATGTGGAACAGGTTAAGTAATGATTTGCTGTTATGGGAACCATCGGCTCCTATCCCAGCTATAAGTCAGTCTTGGACAGATTGTACTGATGGACTTGGAATAACGAGCAACTTATTATTAGAACGTCAAGACAAGTTCGTGATGTGTAAATCGTCCATCAAGCAAGGTAAGCGATTGAGATTTATAAATAAACAACCAGTTATTCTATGTACTTATTAATAACATTATAACTTTGCTTATTAATATATGACTCTTATCTAATTACCTAACATAATTCTAAACTATATCATTAGAATCATTCTCTTCCTCGGATGAGGATGAAAGCAATCCACCACTTAATTTACAAAAAAACAAAAAACGATCACAAACCAGCAATAATCGTAGTAATATAGGGATAACGTTACACTTTGGACATGCCAGAATAGGTTTTTGTTCTGAAATTCAGGTAATGAAGCTATTTGAGTAGCCTAATATCTTACTCAATACGCTTACTTTTGTTAAATTTTATATCGATTAACGTTCCTATATCTGGCTCATTTAGGATTATCGCCTTAAGCAAGTATTTGTCATTGATAACCTGTGCGTGTTCGTAGTTTCAAACTATGAAGGAATTGAGGGGTTACAGTATATTTGCGCTCATACTGGCTCCGTATGGTTGTATCAAGGCATAATATATGATATGCTATCGGAGGATAATAATAATTGTAATGTAGACGGTAATAACATCATTTGATATACGTTTTAATAGTTTATCTTATTACCTGAAATTTTGGGCTGTGCGATGTGTAATATAGGCAGCTCTAATGTTATACCATTATATTGACAGATTTACGTTTAATAATCCATCCAGCTGTTAGACCAAATGAAAATAACCAATACGTTGATGCTACTGCTAGCAAAAATAAGATGCTCTACTTAGCTGTAAAAATATCTTATAATGAAGTGCAACATGTAAAGGTATAGCATGATACACAATATTGCATTTAGCGTAGTAATGATACTAATACGTATCATATGTTAAGGATGCTATTGTAGCCTTAAATTTGAAGTACGCTGTTCTAAAGCATGAAATCGTACCTAAAGAACAAAATTGGCTAACTCAAGTACTGCAGTATAATAGAATGTTTCCATTACGATTCATTTGGCAAGGGTGTGCTGTTATGCTATAACTGACAAACTAAATTGATATTACTCTTAAAAATTGCTTGCAGGTACAAAATTTCTTCGATGTAATAGATATTAGCGTACCTGGTTATGTGCCAGCTACTAATGTAACGATGGTAAATGTAAACGTATTTGATTGTGGGATCGATTATAGGTAATGTAAGCATATGTAATATTGCCCATGGAAATATTTCTTCAGTCTAACATGATATCAAAAATCTCTTTGCATATTCAGGCCACGACATTTGCAACATTGCTGCTATGTAGACATAGGAACACTATATCTATCAACAAATGTTGTCGCTAAGGCATCGTCGTCACTTTTGAGGTATTGACTGTAGCGTTGATGGTACATCTGTGGCATATTTACGATTTAGTATCACCATATTAGCGGCCTTAACTATATACCCATCTTACTGACTAACTAGGATAATATTACAAAATGCTTTCTTACACATATCCGGCTATAAAATCACCGAATTGATCGATTTATCTTCAGGTATTATGACTTGATCGATGAATATGTAATGGTTAAGTCATATACAGCCCACAAAACTTGCAAATGTAATGTCATTACCCCAAAGCTGCACACAAGTTATACTATCTGTTTTGTAACAATAATTAGATTATGCCAAAGTTATAGAAGTCAAGGTATTCGATGTTATCATCCGATTGCAGGAAGATCCTGATAAGGCAGGAAATCTTTAATCAAAATAGATGATTTATTTCCTGTTAATACTAACTTTTATCAATTTCATGAGATAAGATTTCTGATTACATTTACTAATTTGATGATAACATGAAATGCAGAAAGTTCCTAAGGTGGACATTTCCGCCGCTAGAAATTCAATAGTTATTACGACATGTGCGGATTCGCTTCAAGCGCTTATGAATATCATGCAATATATGGCATCAGATGGGGACTTGAACGATGAGATATTTGACGATTCCAATAACGTGAATATTTATATAACTTTGTTTGATCAAAGGATAAATCCATTTCAAATTTATGTTTATTATAATTAAAACTATTAATCAATTGTTATTATCTTATACTAGAGCTTGCAAGTTCATAGCAACCCACAAAATGAACCTGTCGTTGACGTTGAAGATTTAATTCTTGATGCTATTAATGAATCTCCTGACGAACGATTAAATGTATGTGTTCTGAAGATGGGAAGTCATTTTTTGGCTTTTAAAATCGTGGTACTAGATAGCTGTAACTCATTATAATTTGCAGGTGAACGCAGCAAGTAAATCCGAAGGTAGAGATAACAAAAAGTGGGAATTAGATACTGAAATCTGTCATTCGAACACGTTGGAAGACAGATATGAATATCAATCAAATGACAAAGATAATCTCAAAATATCAGTGAATGAAGAATTTGAAGTTATTGATCTTCCTTATTCAAATCGTCAGGTATGATTAACATAAACCTACAGATAAATAGATTCTATGTTTTGTATTAATGTAATCCGCATAAAGGATAACCGTATAAAAATATTATTTTTGAAATCAGTTCACTGCAAAATGTTTGCGTAAATATGTATATCCATAATTAAAGTATGTTAAAGTATTTTTGCATATCACTTACTATTTTTACGTTAGTAAATTTTAAAACTGGTCTGCAGTTTTTATTTTAACCAAATATTTCACTACAGGAATCAGCTCCTTTAGTAGAGAAATTAATCGATGAAGACATTGTGCTAGCGGAGAGTCATTTTACTCCAACGGTGTGTACATTCGCTTGTACTAAATAAATTTAGGAAATTATCATAGTTAATGTTTAACATTACGATAACGCTGTTAAAAATTTATCACTTATTGAAATAGAATTCGCGTTTGGATGCACTAGCAGCTCCCCCACATTTTCCTATTCCTATTGCACGGTATAGTTTAAGTGGATTGGATTTAGTATGGCGTTTACACAGTGGCAATGACTTTATGAAAGGAAAGCACTCTGAAAAAAACGAAGAGAAAGACGACATCGCTAACACCGAAGCGGCCCCTGCCCAGAGTAGACCCAAGTATAATAGTTATTGATAACTACTGTTTATTAACTTAGGCCAGGATAATAACATTGAAAACTTTATACCACGTTAGCTCATCAAACGGGACTGAAGCGTGGAAATATCAAGAGCGTGATAACAATTCTTACATGGAATTTTTTTTTGATAAGGTAAGATAAAACTTCTATAACATTACGTTCTGTGTACTCTAGATTACTAACGTATATTTATTATCTCACAGATCCGATTAAATTATGAAGAATATCCTGAAGAGTGTGAACAATTTTCAAGAATTGTATTTATTATTCGTGAAATGGAAATTCGAGATAATCTGTCTGTATCGCAATTTAAAAAATTTATGTACTTATACTCATCAACGGATGTACCACGACAGACATATGCGGATATGGTAAGAAATTCATGTTCCAATGCGAATAATTAATTTATTTATTTATTAAAAAGTCTTTATGAGATCAAAAACTTCCTATAATAATTTCGAAATCTTTCCTTTTCAGTTAACGCTGAAATTGCTATTCCTTCGTCCGGAGCCTTTACAATCAATGAAAGAATGTTGCCTAAAGGTGTCAGTACTACCACTGAGATTTAATATCGATCAGGTCGGAGTAGGAATATATCTGTATTTGTATTATAACCGGTTTGATATAATATACTAATAATAGGCTTCCTATTCACTTCTAGGATGCGTTAATATTTTTAAGAAAATTTTTTACGACCGTCAATGGTAATACAGTAATAAACTAATTCATTTATTATCTTTGATATTGATGATATTTAAGCAATTGATACGCATGCTTCTGATAAAATAGGATAGGTACTATATCAGTATGTCAAATTTTTATTCTATTTAGAAAATAAATTAAATGTGTACACTTATACTGACACCTTGCTGTTCACAGAATTATCATTGGCAGTCAATGTAGAGTGTAGTGATACTGACATGCAAAATCGTGAACCTTCGCTTCCTATTGTACAAGATGCAGCCGCTGTAAGAAATATTTAGTAATATCAAAAGATTCTAAGCAGCGATTTGAATTGCAAACCCTTGCATACGTTTAATGCAGATAACTACTTAAAATATTAGTAATATTATCAAAGCTCCGAACTTTATTTTGTGGCAGTACTGTACTACAGCTATTATGTAAACCTATATTTTTACTGATTTTCTAAACACAGATTAGCTCGCACGAACCAGACGGATCAATAGACGATACAAACAGCGAGATACCTCCTTTGTATATCAAATCTTTCGTATTTACACCAGATTTACTGATTAGAATTGATTATCAGGGTAAAAGAATTGATACGCAACAGGTAGATCAATAATACTACTAATTTGTGTATGTACGTGATTGTCTTTCGTTAGGCAATGCAATATTAGATACTTTATTATGTCAGACATATTACATACATGATTTTGTTGGATAGGGCTTAATTGCTGGTATCATAATGGGCTTAGCGCAATTTAATAGTTCAGAATTAAAGTTTAAGTCTCTCTCATGCAAGAGCGGGTAAGACTATTTTATGATATCATGAAATATTAAATAATTTTTACTTTACAACTAATCTCATATTAATTTAAAGTTACTAACTGTAAGAAAATCTTTCTGATTAAAATGCTGCTTTCTTAAAAGATTGCTTGGTTTTAATAAACTACTGGAATATATCACTACTGAATGGTTGAATCACTTAAAGAGTCAATTTCCTACTTTGCTTGGTTCTGTTGGACCAATGACAACTATCGTACAATTAAGTATGAAGATTAATGGAAATTAATTTTTAGAATATTTTTGATTGAATTGCGACTTTTACTAATTTTCCCATCTACAATATAATATAAAATTGTGACCCTCAATACTTGCAGTTCATGGATTTGTTGATTTATTGTGGTTGCCCGTACAGCAATATCGCAAAGACGGTAGAATTCTACGTGGTGTTCAACGTGGTGCAAGTTCGTTCACAACATCGTCGACTACAGCTTTACTAGAATTTACAGGGCGCATTATTTCTGCTTTACAGGTATTCTACATTTTTGAGTTATTACATACTGATTTATGTAAGATTTATTGCAGGCTTTATTTATTTATAGCATGCAGCAGAGTTTACTTATAATATCGTAACTCCAGAAGTCCCTGGCAGTAAACAACGAATTCAGCATCGACATGTTGCTATTAGAAAATCGAATAATGCCCCAGCTAATGTTAAGGAAGGATTATCGAGGGCAATGCAAGTAGTAACGGAGGTAACAAGAGAAAGATGTTGCACTTGCACTTGCTTATGTACTGTACGACTATCGTTTTATTATTCAATTTGTTCTACTTATAGGGATTTAATGAAACAGCATCAACAATGATGTACGTTGCTTCCAGGGAGCGCGAAGAAAAAGGTGTTTCTGGAGCTGTGGGTGGAATATTGAAACGGTTACCTTCTGCAGTAGTTCAGCCATTTATATTAGCAACTCAGGCAACTAATCAAGTGATTGATGGTGTTAAAAATCAACTAGTGCCTGACGCATTACACGAAGCAACGGAGAAATGGAAAGCAGAAAAAAGTGATGAAGACTTACAATAATTCAGTACTATTATCAAATTTTTTAAATTTTTCGCCTAATTTAGGTTGTAGTGTTAATATATTCGTTGCATACTTTTAAAAGCGAAACAGCCGCTGTAAATTATTTTCTACATATTCTCGCTTAAGTTAGTAATAAATAATCGATGGATTACATTACGTAAATGCACTGACTATACTTATTTTGAAATTATCAATCGATGTGCAGAGCCATTCCCTGATGCGCTAAATGTACCTAGTAGAACACTGAATCTATAACAATAATTATTCATGCCTAAATATTTTTACAATCTAACACTCGGAATATATCTATTATTTCTTGAATTTTTTCAAGATAATTAAATTGTCTAAAATAGGATAACATGTTAGTGTAAAATTTAAAGTTTATTGACTGTTATATTCGAGTGATATCAATTAACCGCCATAGCAATAAACCTTGACAATTTCGATCTTATCAATCGATACTTGTTCATAGAACTTACTGATTTTAAAAACAATTTCAGCAGTTTATAATTTTAAGATTACAAGATTGTCTAATATCAATACATAATTTAAATGGCGTTATTTGTATAGCTACGCGTATAATTCGAGCTAAAATTGTATGATTCTACAGTGAACAGGTGTAGTATTATGAATGTATCAGCTCGAAGATTTACAATAAAATTCGATCGAAATGATAGTCTTTATACATCATTAGTTTTACGAAATCTTAACAACAAACTGATGAAATAAAGCAGTCATTACTGAAACCAATAAACTAAACTCTTTCTCATTACCTTATTTTGCAAATTATGTAGTCATTAGTAACATTACTGCTTTAGACATTGCAAATGATTACAGTGATAATAAAAATTATAAAGTGACTACGATATGTATGCCAATATACAACATACGAAATTAATCAAGTAAATCCGCTATACTGTACACAATATCAACTAGAAGAGTAAAATTGGGGTTTAAAACATGATAAGTTAGGGTACATCAAAGCTTTTCAATTTGTATATTTATTTACTGGTGATAGACTAATGTCGTCTTCTTGTTCGAGATATTCTCCATGAATTTGGTTCTTCATATTTGTTGTACAACGGTTCCAATCGTTCTTGCTTCTTTCTTTTACTGAGTTTTGTCGGATCGGAAAATCTAAAAAATGTAGACGCAAATTCAACTAGCCAACGAGGATCAATAGACGTAACTTCACGCATGTATTCTTTGGTGGTTTGAACTAATTCATGATAGACAACCCAATCTGGTTGATGATTGAACAGTGCACTAGAAGGATGAATGTAAACAATTTGACTATCGACAATGGTTCTGTAGCCCTCTTGAGGATCTTTCTTAGCAGCGTTACGGAAAAATCCACTACATATCGTTTTCTGTACTCGTACTACATTTTTACCGCATGAGATAATATCCAATTTGTGCCTATCCATGATACCTAATAATTGTTTACGAACATCTTGAGCACGACGGAGAGTTCGTGCTTGTACAAAATTTTCAAAACACCAGGGATTGGAAAATTTATTATTCTTCCACGAATTATAAACTGCTAATAATGTTAAATGATCACCTTCAGGTTGATGAAATTTTGCTTTCTTTTGATCGGCTAAAGCTTGCTTTTCTTTAGGTCGATAAAATACATTTTGAACGGATAACATCGATACAATAGTTAATAATTCTTCACTACAACCTAAATGGACTGATTGTATTAACACTTTCGATAATGGTGGCTCTAAAGGAAATTCTGCCATACGTCGACCTAATCGTGTTAGTAAACCTTCTTCATCTAATCCACCCAATGAATGTAACTGTTCCATGGCAATGATCATACTGCCCATAGGTGGTGCATCCATGAAATCGAATGATAATAAATCATTGATTCCCATTGCTTTAAGCGATAGTACAGTACTAGCTAAGTTAGTACGTTGTATTTCTGGAACAGCACTTGACAACATCTCGTCTCGATATGCTCTTTCAGTGTACAATCGATAACATTTACCAGGTCCAGTGCGACCAGCACGGCCAGCTCTTTGTTTAGCTTGAGCTTGTGAAATCGGTGAAACAACTAATGAATCGAAACCAGTTTTAGAATTATAAACTTTTTGTTTTACAAATCCGGGATCTACTACATAATAGACACCATCGATTGTTAACGATGTTTCAGCAATATTGGTAGCAATGACAACTTTACGGCTACCAGGAGGTGCTGGATCAAATATTCTAGTTTGCATTTCTGATGGTAGAGCACTATAAACAGGTAAGATAATCAACTCTGGTACTTCAGGCCCTAACGACTTCATTCGTTCGTATAAAATTTCACAAGCTGTCTCAATTTCTTCTTGTCCAGTTAAAAATACCAATATATCACCGGGTGGTTCGGTTAAATGAATTTGCATGACAGTAATTAAAGAAGCATCTAAATAATCACTTTCAGCTTCTTTAGTGTATAACATTTCAACAGGATAAGTACGCCCAGGTATGGTAAATATCGGCGCTTCAAAGAAATAGGAAGAAAATTTGACGGCATCTAGTGTTGCTGAAGTGACTATTAGCTTTAGATCAGGTCTCTTTTTGACAGCTTTTTTCATTAAACCAAAGAGGACATCAGTATGTATTGTTCGCTCATGTGCCTCATCCAACATTATAATCGAGTATTGATTAAGATCGGAATCGATTAAGCATTCTCGTAATAACATACCATCGGTCATGTATTTAATTTTAGTCTCTGGTGAAGTACAATCTTCGAAACGGATAGTGTAGCCCACTTCTTGGCCTAACCGACAACCAAATTCTTCAGAGACTCTTTTAGCAACTGACATTGCCGCAACACGACGTGGTTGAGTACAACCAATTTTTCCATAAGAGATGAAACCTTCTTCAGCCAAATATTGCGTAATTTGAGTAGTTTTACCGCTACCGGTTTCACCAATAACAATCAAGATTTGATTACCAGCGACAGCTTGAACTAGATTTTCTTTTAATTTATAAATAGGTAAGCCTTGTCGTTGTTCAAGAATAGATAGGGTAGTTTTGCGCCCGTACGATGCTTTAATACCGCCAAAAGATTTAATTTTCCATTCAGGCATATCTTGTGCAGGCATACCCATACCACGAATGCTATCAGCTAATAAGCGGCCAGTATTATCTGGCATGGGATCGATCCAATTTTTATTTAAATCTTTGGGTACCTCTTCTTGTTGTGCTTGTCTTTGTGCCATTTTCATTTCACGACGATCTTTGGCTAAAGCACTTTGTGTGATAGCAGCACGCTGTAATGAGCCATCGGGATTTTTAACAATTTTAATAGGACTAACATCAATACTTAATCGTGTTTGGCCTCTTAAGAAAGAAGGTTCTTCTTCTTTTAATTCGATTTCGATATCCTCATCCGATTGAGGATCGCCTTTATCAACTATGCTACTGGTAATTTCTTCATCTAATTCGGGATATTGAGATTTGTCGACCACACCAGAAGATATCAATTGTTTAATTTCCCATCTTTCAGGCGATGTCATTCGTTGAATACGCCGTTTAGAAGCCTTATCGTCCTCTTCTCGTACAACTAGACGTGGTACAGTAGCTGGACGATCGGGATTTCGACTAGTATCAATTTTATCTTCCAATTTTCTATGTCTACCACGATTAGAATTTAAATCTTCACCATTGGCTTGGTCGACATCACGTATAGATAAGCTCATCTTTGTACCAGTAAATGATAGCACTTTAACATAAACTTTTTGACCACGAGTAACCACGTCAGCAACATTGGCAACCCTGCCTTCACGGCGTATTTCCGAGACATGGACTAAACCTTCAAATTTACGACTGAACCCTTCTAACTGGACAAAACAGCCAAATTGTAATATACTTGTAATACGACCTCGATAAATTTCATATATTTCGGGTTCTTTGGGTGGTGGCCTATTAACATGTGCATCAGATCGTTCTGATCGATGTTTGCGATGGCCATCCGGGCTTTTCGATCTTTTCCGACGCTTATGTCGGTCATTTCTGTCATGATGTTGCTTCAATTCTGGACTAGGGCTTCTTTTATGATGATGTTTCCTACTTGGTCTATCTGTTGGTGGACTAGATGGAGCATTTTTTGATTTTTCTAGTAATTCTTCCAATTGATTCATCGTTGCATCAACCTCTTGACGATGTTGATCATTTTTCTCGATTTCTTCGTCAGGTAGGCATAAACTTGGAAATATCTTTCTCTGTTCTACAGTCTCATTATTGCTTTGGCCCACCTGAGTCTCTGATGACAGTAAGTTACTCTCTTGAGAGGCATGTTTAGTGAGGAATTCAGGTTTCATTTGTTGAATAATACGTAATAAATTGGCAACAAATGAATCGGGAAATTCGGCACCATTTTCAGCCAGCACGGCTTTGAATTGCTCCAAAGTAGAATTTTGCTCCGCTAAGGAAATGATAAATTCGGCAAGATCTTTATCATTCAAGCCTAAATGATTTTCTAACTCTGTGCATACTTTAGAGACCAATGAGAGATGTTCCAACCTTTGAAGTTCGTCCATACTTGACTTGTTGAGGTAGCTCTTGGTCTAGAAGGCAATCAATTATGAATTATAATATAATAATTCAATCATCATCAACATTCTTATTCATACCAAGATCATGAATTATAATATAATGATTCAATCATCATCAACATTATTCTTCATACCAAGATCATAAATTAGAATATAATGATTCAATCATCATCAACATTCTTATTCATACCAAGATCATGAATTGAATATAATGATTGAATCATCATCAACATTATTCTTCATACCAAGATCATAAATTAGAATATAATGATTCAATCATCATCAACATTCTTATTGAAACCAAGATCATGAATTGTAATGTAATAATGATTGAATCATCATCCAAATTATGATTAATACCAAGATTCCAAGTCGATCGTCACTTTACCTAACCCTAACCCTGTTTGTTATTATTATTATGATTACTACTACGTTTTTGACAGACGTGCTTTTCTACCACTAGCAGACTATTGTACCATCGATTACTCACTCCATCTTACCAGTAAGATGAAGGGATCAACAGTCATATCCGACTCTTCCAATTTTGATTGACTTTTCAAAGTATTCTAGTAGTGTTGATACTATGAGAGTATCAATTCGTCGCCATTCACAATCACCATGGAAAGTACATGAAAATTGGTTGTTCAAAGTTGACTGAGTGGTCGCTTTTCTACTTACAGTACCCTGGTAGACTACTTTCTGTCGTTGTCGAGCAGACATCCGTACGACAAGTTGAAGAGGTGGATGGCCAAGGCACCTTCCCTGCTGCTTTGTTGCAAATCTTGATTTCAAGACTATCTAAACTGCAGGAGTTGGATATTACTGTTCATCTAGCAGATGAAGTAGTCCATGACTGTGCTGTACTATCTATCAGTACACCGATAGTTGATTCAATCAATCCATCCATCGTATGTACTAGATGAGGATTTTCGACGTTGACTTGTTAACAGTCAGAATTGGATTGCATCTGCAGTCACTTTGACTACCGTGGTCTCGATCGATGGTGATGACCAACAACTTGTACAGTATAACTCCATTTAATACAAACTCTCCACACTACGTCTACCTATTTTCTTTCATACTTACTTTGAATACAATTTACTTTCCTTCAAGACTTTCCACTTTTAAATACCAATGGATAGAATGGACAGATTCTGCATGCAGCAATAACGCCAATGGTTGGAGAGCGAATTCTCGGTTGCCCACTGCTCTGCATGTGTTTGATGGAGTGAGGCAAAAAGAGACAGCCCGCCTGCTCCCTTCTTCTACTCAATCTACTATACTGTATCGCTGAAAGCGTCCACTGTACTGTAGTTGGTATAAACCAACTTGACCGACCCTGGACAGAGGACACGACGCATGAGCACTTGCGGTTGTACGTTCGTGGCATATTGTACACAGACGAAATATGCGCCTGCTATACTGCCTACTGTACAATACAGTAATGTACGATACGCATACCATACAGTCACTGTCAGTCAGAGAGTACAGTGTACAGTGCAGTATACTGTACTGTGCTGTACTGTACACTGTACGCGAGCAGCCATTTCAGCATCAAACGTCACACGAACGTCGCGTCGCCTACCAAGACAAACGATTGACACTTGTGGTTGACTGCAAGTATGCAGATGACACATATTCACTACTGAGTTCTACTGTAGTGTAGAGTATACAGTGTAAAATGATACTGTACAGTATGAGTGTACAGTACAGTACTGTACTGTACGTCGCGTTTTATTGATCCACATTGGATCCTAAAATGGTGGGATACAGCTAGACGGCAGAGCAGACTCTACTGTAGTGTACATGTATTTAGGATAAGAAGAAGAACTTGATTACATCCATAAAAAGGTTACAGAAGATGAGCAATCCAAAAGCGATCGCTAATAGTAGAACGTTTGTCGAGTAATCTCAATTTAGCAAATCTGAGAGGCTACTTTAGCTCTCGATCTCCAAGACCGTTTTATACGATCCTGGCCCATCTTATTGGTCAACCTATTTTGAACAAAACTCCAACACAAATATTTCAAGATGTAGGTCATTCTCGGCCTGCGCTGTGACCAATCTGAGGCCAAACATCGCAGCTCAACAACAGCCTGGCGACCGATCCAACATAGCGCGAACAACCCAATCGATCATATCGAAATTCTAATACAGATGACATTATTACAGGCTGCATCCGCCAGTTTCCTATTACACTAATTTATTATGACTAGTATCATAGGCTGTGGGACTGGATCGGTAACACAAGCTGTACTAGTACTATGGTAGGTCTTCCTTTATTAAGTGAATCCATGTCTAGTATGTCTGTCTGTCTACCTTGCCGGCACTAGTACTACAGTACAATATAGTAGCCATTGGTAGGTCTTCTTGTACTAAGTGAGTCCATGTCGAGTACGTCTGTCTGTCTACCTTGCCGGCACTAGTACTATAGTAGCCATTGGTAGGTCTTCTTGTACTGTACTAAGAGAGTCCATGTCCAGAAGTCTGCCTGTCTACCTTGCCGGCACTAGTACTATGGTAGCCATTGGTAGGTCTTCTTGTACTAAGTGAGTCCATGTCCAGAGGTCTGTCTGTCTACCTTGCCGGCACGAGTACTATGGTAGACATTGGTAGGTCTTCTTTTACGAAGTGAGTCCATGTCCAGTACTTCTGTCTGTCTACCTTGCCAGTACTAGTACAGTACATAGTACAGTACAGTACTGTGGTAGGTCTTCTTTTATTAAGTGAGTCCATGTCCAGTAAACCATGGTCTGTCTGTCTATCTTGCCTGTACTTAGTGTACTCGTCGGGTCGGTCTTCTTCTATTAAGTGAGTCCATGTCCGGTAGACCTTGGTCTGTCTGTCTACCTTGCCTGTACACTGTACAGTGTACAGTGTACAGTAACAGTACTAACAGTAGTACTATGGTAGGAATGTTGCGCAATCTACTCCTACTCAATGGCTCCCTGTTCCGGAAAGAGTCAATATTGCCAAATCGACTGCAGCTTCGTCACATCGTGAATAAATAAATACTCGGCCTTCTCCACGCCATCAATTACGTGCAGTAATGTCAACGCTATTTTTAACCTCTTGCTTGCAATCCTTCGACCATCAGTAATAGCGTGTCCAACCCTTTTGACCATTTTGGCTATGACTTCTCCAATAAGTCTTCAGAAAGTGCTCAAATCCCGTCATATTCAAGCAGAATTCGTAAGTGCTAACAAATATCATAGTAGGAGTGTAGGACTACAGCCAATACCATTCAGCTTTAGCATCGTTCTACATACAGTCAGCAGGTTATAAATTGACTTCTTCATATGGGCCCACCGTACCACCACAACTCGATCACTTTGAATAAAACTCGTCTTGGAAGAAGCGACAAGCCATGCAAACAATTGCCATCCTAGCAGCATAACGCAGTCAAAAATCAACACAACGTTAGCAAACATACACTACGCCAACCTCTCAAGTTGATATCACTATCATTTCTACAATTCCATACATTCAATGACCATCAAGTACAGTAGAGTATCTACCAGTGCCATCAATCACTCTCTTTCATGTATATATACAGTCGTATCATGACAACGGATTGTTGTAGAGTAGTTGAACTATCTGTCCATAATAACTATCCCTTTTATGAAGTTAATCGACATCAATGGTACAATACATGTTTCAACACCATAAAATCACTTATCCAGGTTGAGATCGCTTGCAAAATATCCAATCAACATCACACTCATGACACTGTTTAACGATCCTAGCATACTAAGCAAACCGTCAAATTTTGCAAATAGTATGATTACGTTTTCACTTGATTCTCCACATATCAATGATGTTGCTATGGCATGACAGATTTCCCGTTAGCATTGATCCCTCGATTCTCAATGTCCAATGTTGAAAAATAAACCGTACACTGTAAAGATAGTCATTCTTCAACAGACGCCTTAATTAACTCAGGATTAAGATGAACGATGTTAATTTCAATTCCATGCTACTACCAAACTATTAAACATTCTTACAGTTTGACCAGCCTGTCATGACCATGATTGCATTATGCTTTCACCGGATCTCATTACTTTCAGTATGGTGGTTAATACCATCGATTTGAACCTCTATCAACTCTATGGTCTTGCAAAAGAGCTTTTGCAATTTACTGTACTGTATGTCATCTTGCTAGACACAGTTATATTACATGGCCACTATCCGTTAGTATTGTACACGACTTCATTACAAGAACTTATTTGAAGTGTAGTATTGTACACAATTTCCTATTCCTCCACACTCAGTGGACAGTATAATCGAGTCTAACGTAGAAAAATGCAATGGTTGCTTCAACGATATTAAAATCAATCGTCACATTCATGAATTTCCATACAAGTTGAATACTCCATCGGCCATGTTAGCACTATGTTATACCATGGATGACTATACGGCTAGACTTGTAGTAGTATCATACAAGACTTGCTACAACTTGTCTCCATTGCAACATTCTACATGTTTGATGGCCACTATAGACAGTACTACTATTCAGCGTAGAATCTAGTTTGTTAAAATAGACGTTGTCAATGATCATTTAAGTAATTGATATTCATAAATTTTATACAAGTTTTCCCTTCCATAAGTCTTATATCGTCATCGGCATCATTGATGCCGTTGCACTCCAATCTTGAGTTGAAGTCACTCATCTTCTCCCCGTAAGTTCGTCAATTAATCCGTATCAGAATTTGTTTTAATTAATGACAGCATTTTTACACTATGGACTACTACACCAAGTTCTACTACTGTATTTAACTTAGTCTAAAATAGAAATTGCTAATTAATTATCACTTTAATTGATATTCAAATGCATATTATTATTTCCTTCAATTGTATACTTTGCAAGGTAATCATCTTGGTACGCTGATTCAACAGGTGGTCAATAAAAACAAATCTAGTAATTATGAAGGGCATGTTTAAATTCAATTTTACTCGATTAATGAACATCCCAAGCAAATGCCCATTCCAGCCACAGTAACATGACTAACATCAACAACTTCGATTAGCAGTAAACTGTACTGTACTGTTCTGCAAGCTTGTGCACCACCAATCTTTACGTTAAAGACGCGTCTATATTTGAGGATAAAATTCATATCAGAACTACGTACAGTTCAATAAAACATTATTCTACTTTAAAATAAACTGTCTCTCGAGTATAAATTTTACATTTTTGATAAACAAGCTTTCCGCTTGCTATCACAACGAAGACATTAGTAAACCAGTGCGTAATCGAGATGTTGAGGTCTATCTACAGTAGTACGACAGCTCTTGGCTAGAGTTACTGCTGTGGTTCCGGATTTTAAACTAAACTAAATTTTTCAATGAAGACTTAATTAAGGCATACGCCTATCTTTACTCTGAATATCTACTTGCCTTTCAATAAAACCTGATTATAAAGGCTATTCCTTATTAAGTAAAGCTTGACGTTAATTCAATACATTCAAGTAACTTAGTCGTGGACAATCTGCGGCTTGTAAATATACTGCTTACTTACGCGCACACATATATTCATAGTAAAGAATTGACGATACCGTTAGGTTCAAAGCATAGATGCTTTCATTTTATATTCCAATCTTCACTATGCATATGAAAACTAATCACCTTTCAATGAAATTGTTTTCATCCACGCGTATTCCTATATCTTGTATCCGGGATAATGAGATAATTTACTCTTGAAACAAAGCTTATAGATGTGTAACTTATAGTGATAACATCGTACTGTATAGGAAATAAAATTGGTTAGAGTAATGGCGCAAATCATAAATCGAAAATCTTAGTATGCTTATATTTATTCTCACAGCGAGTCCGTGGCAATCGAACGGATCCTTCAACACACTTACTATTTGGAGAAGATGTTGCTTTTTGTATAGATAATGCCTACCTTGTTGAAACATTTCATGAACTGGCCAAAGGCGTCTTCTTCATCACCAATTACAGAATTATCTTTGCTGGCTATTATATGAAAGTACGCGTAAGAATATTCCAATAATTTAGAGAATGTTATAGATCAACTCTATTGAGATCAAAACGATTAGGTAATGATAAAATGGGTATCAAAGTAAATAAAAGTTGTACTTCGAAAATAATTTTGGATCAAGATACGGGCTAAGGCAACCAACATTATGCAATCTATCATCACATAAACATACACGTCGAAAGTTCATCGTAAAATACAGTAGTAATAAAATCACTACCATAAATGGAATATCCATACCATAAAGGCAGATACTCTGCTTAAAGAAGAGTATTTTTTTTACTTTAAAATGCAAGACTTCTAGTTACAAGGCTTAAATATTATTTTTGTGCTTGTAGTAAATTACATTATTACAATCTATATTTACGAGTATGTCATTAATGTGTAGTTGTATACTAGTCATGGTATAGCTAATTATATAAGTATGTAACGATGAGTTGGATAGTACTTTAATGCTTAACTAGTTCAATAAAGTTGTGCTCATATAGAACAGTACCGCAACGATGCAATACTCTATAAGCTCGTATTTCAGAGGTAACAATTACAGTACTTACACGGAACTTGCAGTAAGTCTACACCAGCCTTGTAGATTATAAGAAGAGAAATATGGTATTATTGAGAAATCGTCTACATACCCTTGAAAATATTTAGGCCAAGAAGAAGAGAGGCAAAGTTCTACAGCAAATCAATCTCTTATGCTTGTATTGTATTTAAGTTGTAAACAAGCTTAATCTTCATAAGACTTTGTGATGCTTTAGTTACATCATAGTATTCACTTGAGTTGGCGTAAATTTAGCTCTTGATCTGAAAGAATTATATTATGCTATAACATTTAACAGTATTGCAACAAGTATCAGCCAAAGATATTATAGATGAGTTGCACATAATTTAATACAAATAATCTTTAAGAGCCTTTATTATGCTTTAGACGCATAGTTACGATTTTAAAATTTAAAATCATTTTTCAGTATAAAGATATTTACAAAGCCGGTAAAACTAGTATGGTTAGTAAAGCCGTCAAGGTTATCACCAAATCAAATACTTCCTTTAAGTAAGTTTTTAGCAAGTTGTAATCAATCTTGGTATTTAATATATGAATACTGTACGTCGTCATGATCTTGCATCAGCTTTTATTCATTGATTGTAAAAGCCAATTTTTACTTATCAACGATTAGACCTATCGACGTAGTATCTATGACGACAAAGCTTCAGTCCACCAATGATGGCAATAGCAACATTCGTGATTCTTTGACGATGGAGCTGAAGAAGCAAATATTAAGTACTTAATAATATACGATGTTGTATTCTATCTCTTACTTTGTAGTGGTGAGCAACTAAAACTATGCCATTTTGAGATTCTTTTAGAATTACATTTTTTAATAAATATACTATATAATGATTTGTATAATAGAACATATAAATAATTTATTGCATATTTATAATTCACTACAATAATTCTAATTTTATTTAGCTATTGAAGATGTGATATCAATACCTCTTACCTCTATTGATGACCTTGCAAATGTACCATTAGTACATTTAATTCGAGAGAAGCTATCCCTAGAGTCTGGAGTAAAACTTATCTCCCGAATTTGCCATGATATTGTGGTATAGGCAAATTAATAGTGTATGTTTTATTATAGAAGACTATTCTGTTGTCTAATTGTATAATTTTATCTGCAGATCTGCATTCCATATGATAATATTTATAGTGTCGATTATTTGATTAAACAATTATACATACGAATGCGAAGCGTCCCAACAGGAATGACTGCTATATTCGCATTTCGTCACTTTAAAAAAATTTGTACTAGCAAATCTGGAGAGAAATATATACCTGTCAAGGACGAGTTTAACAGCAACATCTATAGTTTTGAAGGTAGGATATGAATTTTTAAGCATTACGCGAGTGCATCTAGAGTTTATAAATGAATATTGTCTAACATCGTATTTCACTATAATTTGATGTAGCTGAGACCGCTAGAATTGATATTACTGACGATAACAACTGGGATGGTAATCCTTTAGCGATCAAATCATTTTTTTAGATACAAGTCTGTCTAAAACTATTATAATTATGCATAGATTGTGTATACACTTATCCATAGCTATAAGTAGACGTAGACATTTTAAGACTAAGGTAGACTTAAAAACGTTCGATCTCAATCTCTGAACCTTTTTTGCAATCGAGTACAACAACCGATACATGAATTTGAAACTAACTATCTTCGTATTTTATTAGTGATTAATAACAACGGCAGTGAATCTTACCCTATATTTGCCCATAATATAATTATACCGAGAACTTTCCATACATCACTATTACCAGAGTTAGCAAAACGTTACAGGTTCAAGCGATATAATTCATTTTAAATTGTTGTAGCGAAGTGTAAATGATCACATTACACTTTCGTACCGTGCTAATTAGTATGCTTTTATAATGAAAAATTATTATAAAAGAGGAGGTAGATTTCCAATTGTTTGTTGGAAGGAAAAAGATACTAATTGTTTCCTGCTAAGATCGGCTTATATGATAGAATCAAGGTATCTCAATAACTTTTGTAATACTTTAAGCTGTTAACTACTGCTTCATCATAGAACTTCAATAAATTCTTATTCTATGCAGATCGAATTCCATCGACAAGTCTGCACACCTTGAAGATTACTACTATCATATATGTAATTGCTTGGGCAAATCCACTGACATAAAGCTATACATTTTCTCTCCAAGGTGACTTGATTAGCGGTTACTTTACTCTTCTATGTTTCCAATACGTTTTCCAAATATTACTGTTAGATATTTTGTAATGATGTAACGTGACTATTTTGCATTTAACTTTATCTGAGAATAATCTCTATCCGACAGGTCAAGTAATCAATCCGTAACAAATTTTCTGTTAGCACGATCGCGTAAAGACTCAGATGGTAAACAATCTGATCATTTTATTAAGCTTTTTGCTGATATGATTGTAACGTTGTATACTGTCCGTAACTCTTAGTAAATAAGCAGCCAAGTTTTGTGCATGTTAAAAGCAAAGCCTTCCAATTTAGTCCTGCAATCATTAAAAGAAGCTTACGACTGTTTCTTAACTTACTATCACACGAAAAGTAAGCATGGATTGAACACGATTATTAGAGAGTGATGATATAATCAGTCAAGCATATCATTCAGATAGTTGTTTTGTTTTCCTTGCAGAGATGATAAATATTTAGTACAGTTAGATGAATGTCGGTGGCTACAAATGATAAGTAAGATCATTCAGAAAGCTGTGGAAATGGCTTTAATAATTGCCAAGTGCTCAGCTTCAGTAATCGCCAGCTTTGAAGATGGGCAAGATTTTACCGCTCAGGTAATATTTCAAGTAACTATCGTTTAGTTAACATTGATATCAGATTTGATTAACGGGAGATAATATAGTATCTTAGCACTATCATACTAACAAATCGAAGTCAATTTTTTTTAATTTAGGTTACTAGTTTAACTCAATTACTGCTCGACCCATACTATAGAACAATGGATGGCTTTCAAGTATGGCTTCACTGTAACATTTTTTAGTTTTTCGCTTGCTTGCACTTTGTTGGATTGGCTATCACTAACCAAAAAACTTATGACAATACAGGTCTTAATTCAAAAAGAATGGTCAGAAATTGGCCACCCATTTTGTAAGCGCAATCTGCCTTTCCTTCGTAGAGATAAGGAAGCTGAAGGACCCGTATTTATTCAATGGCTGGACTGTGTTTACCAGGTAATGTTGAGCCTTACTATATTACGTGCAGCGTCATTCATGCGTTGATTTATTTTATCTCGAGCAATAAAGATCTTAATAAAATTAAAATGTATACTAATTAAGAAACTAACTTATGAATGATATACCTACAGATAGTAACTCAATTTCCTTATTTGTTTGAATTTACTCCGAATTTCCTCCATGTAAGATTTAGAAAATTGTGTAATTAGAAGAACTAAAGTTAGATACTAATCAAAATGATACAGGGCATTGATCAGCAGAGTCATATTAACATACATTATCATTATATCCTATAGGATATAGCATATCACGTTTATTCATGTCGCTTTGGAACATTCTTGAGTAATGACGTCTTTGACGATGAGAAGGTACCTCTTATAATAAAAACGTAAAGCTTAACAATCATTAGCAATGTGACTAAACTTCTACTTCCTTATGACACTGTACAAGATCATTATCATCAAATCAACTAACTAACGTAAAGACGTTTTATATTAAGTATAATATTTATATGCGTACGGTATCATTTTGGGATTGGATGAGAGACATTGGATGCTATAAACCATATAGAAATCGCTTCTACATAAAAGAATCCTATCACCGGTAAATATATCTACCCTAATATTCCCTGGATAATAGCAGCATTCATTATTCTATTGGATTCGCGAAGACTTTTATAGGATTTGTTGATAGAATAAATCTTTATCATTGTTATTTCGTAGGTTAATTTTACCACTGTACAGTGTTCCATTTCTAAAAATTTGGAAAGAATGTTATTGTAATATGAATGAAGTAAGAATAAGAGTATCTTTAAAAATTTCTCAGAAATATATGCACGTATTTTACTTTGGCGATATCCAAGGATCATAATGTCAATGCTTTTGATTTATTTACGAATACGTCAAGATCGGTTCTGTGAATTCTAACCTTGGTAAACTCTATCAGCAATACCAGGTTCAAATATGCTATAGTTGAAGATTTATCCATTTCTTCATTATCTTGTTTCGCTAGTGATACTGTAAATGTGGAATAAATAATATTTTTCCTTAATAAGTGAAATCTGATACTAATTTATTACAACGTTAAATTTTATTTTTCGTAGACTTTAATTACTGAATATAAAGAACTGTGTAATACATTGGACATCAAATTTGATAAGAAATTGTATATTGATGCGCATCTTAATAATAATGAGCGATGTTTGGCTGAATTATTTCAAATAAAACCTATTCGAAGTATGATACAGGCTATAACCTCAGCTATTTACCTTTTAGTGGCACTAATTTGACGTATTATCATTATACAGAGGTTATGCTTAAGAAAAATGAAAGAAATATAAATCTTGAATACGAAGAGGAGGATAACCCACAGTCTTGGAAAACTGCTCCTAATATTGATTTGCACTATTCAAATGGTAGGAAGAGTAATCGTAAGCTAATTCAGAGGTATCTATCCAATTTGTAGAATTACTAAATAATTTTTTTTACTACTTTGGTGTAATACATAGAAAGCTTAACTGATTCAAATGGTACCCCGGATAATTCTCTACGCCGTCAAACAATCAATTTTGTTTATATTTTACAACGAAAAGGTTCAAAGTGTTATTTAAATAGAATGAACCAAAACGACAATGGTTAAATTCGGACTTCTGCTGAATAATATAAACAATAACTTTTCCGTATCGGTAGACCAGGGTAAAAACTTATTTTGTATTCTTTTTAGGTCTGTCATTCCAATGGGAACACAAAGTGGTCGTTGAGAAACTACGTTGTAGCGGTTATTTGACTAAACTTGGAAGTACGAGATATTGTATTTAAATATCTAAATTATAATCTATAATATCAATATATATACGTTATGACACAATATAATATATGTTTTTATATGCATATGCATGTATGGCATGGCAATAATTTATGCGATACCACTAGCAGCAAGTAATTATTTAAAAGATTGCAAAATTGTAGATGAAGTGAAATGATTCGATTACTTAGTTAATCTTCGGTGTTACCGTCATCTGAATTTAACGAAACTTTTTTTGTTTTTGATTCACTTACTAGAAATTAGAAAGAATTGGAAGAAACGATGGTTTATATTAGATTATACCCAGCAATCATTATCCTATTATTCAGACATTAGCGTCAGTAAAGCTAAAATGAATATTTTATTCGTATTTAACATCTTAAATTTACAATAACATTCATATCATTTCCTAATCATTTGTCACGAAGTATTTATTGCTGTTTAATTCCCTCCTCTTTTTACCATCTATCAAGATAACGATTTTTATTCATCAAATATGTTAGGCACAGTCAAGTCTGAAAGGTTGTATTGATATACATTCGATGAAAAGTGTCTGTAAAGAAGAGGAAGATCACTACAAGGGTATCTATATCATCTCTTTGACTACATATGATCGCACTTACAGATTGAAGGCTTCTAATGAAATAGAGATGGTCATTTGGATAACGATACTTGAATGTGTGATTTACAATAATAATAGCGCATCTATTTCAACAGAAAGTTTTCAAAACGAGTAAGCAAAGATATGGACTTCAATGCAATTACTGTGTGATGTTTATAAAATACTATTATTTTTATACTACCCCACTATACTGTACATGCTAACCTGAATTAGAATTATTTGATGATTTTTTCCTACGCTCTTTGGCAACGATTTTAAACTACTAAGTATAAGATTCTTATAAAGTAATACTTTATTGATGCAGTACTTTTATACTAATATGCTTGCATTTTAAACATAATAATTTAATATGATACTGATTGCTATATTTATTTTTATACTTAAGAATCCTATATTTCACCTGCACCATCTATCGTGATATCATATAATTATACCGATATCGCATTAGTAAAGGTAGTTGTAGTATTTATGTAACTCTTTATATTAAACAATAATTATATCGTCAAAAATGGATATTTTCTACGACATTTTATGTTGCAATACGCATAAAATTCACATCTACTATGAAATGTAGATTAGCTAATAAGACATACAATAAAGCATTATCTTATCGTAGGTTAATTCAATCTGCTATCGGTATGCAGAGAATGTACATTATCATAATTAATTTAACATTTTATAAGTCATGATAATTTTTATAATATATTGGCAATGAGTGATATAAATTTTATGAATATAAACAGCTCAAAGCTACAATCAATCGATTCTGAAAGTTTTATAACCAGTTCGATGATATAATCAGATGAAGCTTGTAAAGCCTTGCTAATGCTAGCTTAAAATAAGCTAAATTGTGTTCTCATAATTTTTATGTTATTACCATGAAAATAAAAGTTTCTAGAGTATACATTATAGAATATTTTTACTCCCTATCCAAATGATCTAATTGAATGATGACTCATTGATGAGCAGAAATCTCGTAAAAAATTTTATAAGAAAAGGTGAGTGTATAGATTGCGTGATTTTGATATTTGATATTTTATTGCACAATTTTTAAATGTTTTCCACAACAACATGCAAATATCATGCAGTCATAGATGATTGATCAAATTTGTTCTTACGTGCGGAGAAAATATTAGCACCAATTTTTCTATATATAGATTGGAGTTTCTATATAAAGTGTTTCTATAGTAGCTGTCAATTGGCAGTTACGGCGTGTCATGCTATAAAATGAAATCTGAAAATTAAAGATTATAAGATAAACATCGTCGGGTAGTGCTTGAGTTAATTTACATTGAACAATTAATTAATATTTTCACAGCTTATTTATTATATTACTAACAGCACCTGCACACCTAATAGATATATGTAAGTGTATGTTGTTAATAATAAATAAATTCCAATAAGAGCTGTACCAATAAAATGTAAGGCATAAAGTTTATGCTGCCACATAAACACATTGTTGAAATATTAAGTCAAAATTTCGTCAAGAAAGTATGCCGTGTATACTATTTTTTCAAGGAGGTAAATTAATTCTACTGCATGTGTCTGTTTGTTTTTAATACAAGTGCACAGCGTCACGGATAAAAATATGACGCATTTATTCCATAGTAGATTACATGGAAATAATTTTCAGCCATATATTCCAATTAAGGTAGAGATTATTATTTATCGATTTTGTTAATCAGACATTTTATTGAATTTAAAATGAGATTAATAATACCATAATTAGCAGTGATTATTTTGTTTTTGTTAAGTACACTCGTAATTACCTCGTCTGACTAATTAATCGCAAATCATATTCATTAAATTACTGCATATTTATTTTTTCAGACAGTCTTTGCAAGTGTCTAACGTACATCCATTTATAAAGCTGTCTATACTACATTAATAAGTTCAAAAATTTTTTGAATATTTTATTGATCATAAGACTATTAAGGTACATTTTCCATAAATTCGCTCTGAAATGAATTTTAAAAGAGTGATTGCGTCACCGATGATACTTCAGATTAAAGCTTAAGAATAATTAAGGCAATTTGAGAATAAATCATCTTTAATATTCTGAGATCTTGACTCTCAACACTGTCGAGTGATTAGTGAATTTACCAAAAGTCAGGAATCTTAACTAGAATAGTAATCGATAAGAACTATACAATATACAGTAATATACGTGTATTGGGTATAAATCACTTTATGATTAGATTTTGAAGTAAAAATTGAAAGTTTATTGATATAAATCATCGTCATGCGATATCAGCGTAAATGATGAATTCGACGATATATAGATATTGTACGATTGAAAACGTATTTTTAGACCCGACTAATTATATAATTATCCCAAAAATCGTCATCACTGGCGAGATAAATTTATGGCACTCTAAGACACGTTATACAAGTATAAGTAAAAGAAGTTAGAATAGCTTTCTTGCTTTATTTCATTTATACTTTTTCTTAATTCTCGAAAGATTTCATATGACTCATACATGAGAGCTACCCAATTTTATTATTGTTATTCTTAGCCTCCCATGAGGATAGGCTGCTCTTGTAGAGTTTAAAATGATACAAAGCAGATGATATAAATATTAAATAGCAATAATATCAAAGTAACCATAAAAGGCGTCATTACTGACGTAAATGAAGTAAAACATATTTGTACTAGGAAATGGTTGAACTCAAGTTAACTACAAGATGTACAGTAGCGAAAAGTGAAATAAGTAGAGATTTACGACCTACCAGTTTGAATAGTCGAATAATACAGCTTCAATCAGGTGCAGAACAACTACTATGAAGTAATACCACTATAGTTAGACCCTACTGAGCCTTATAAAATTGATGTAAAAAAGCAACTGTTCCAGCCTTTCCTCTAGATCGTTTTTAGTGGTATAACAATTAATGGATTCATTTGTCGGCTTTTCATAATAATATAGACGAAACATCTCAATTAATCTCAGAATATCCCACTACTTATTTCAGATAGGGCATAGAGGAACTCATTGTGTTGTTCATGTCTGCAGTCGAGTAAACTTGTTGAAGTCAGTTTTAACTTTTTTGATCATCGCCAAGATAAGCAAGATATTGTGTAATGTACGTGACACAAGAGAAAGAGACCAAAGGTAAGAGAAATTAGAATATTATCTTCTACACATTTATTTGCACCAATTTACTGCTCTTTCAATAGATGACTAGTTGAACTGTAAAAGTTAAAATTCTCATTATGATAATAATAATAATCATTATCGTCATCATTGATGGAGGAGACAGCCGGCATAACATGATCATTTCACTCATTTAGAATTGAGTAACGTCATGGACAACATGCAGTGCCGTGGTGCCTAGATAAGCGCGATATTAAAATAGTTTTGTAAAGAATTTTATAATTTATCCCTTGATTTAGCAGTTTAATTAATTGGATCTTATTTCCATTGTATCAGCATAGAAAATATTGTACGCTAAGATTAATAGCGGTTCGATCGATTCATGTAAAATGATAGACAATGAATAATAATGTCTGTCATCTATCGAATTGAAGAGTAGCCGCTCTAGTCAATAACCAAATTATGTAACATTACTTTTATGTCTTAAGGCTTCTTCTAGCTAAATAACGAGTTCAGCCTGTTTAGTCTTGGCTTGATATCACGTGAATTTTCAGTGGGTAATAAATTGTTGTGTCGGAGTGTTTTTTTAATGCGTCAAAAAAGGATGAACAGTAGGGCGATTGCATTACCTCATTAACAATAATATCGAATCTATACGAAACCAATGACGAGTTTATAAATGAATATATTAACATAACTAATGAAGTTTATCCTAAACTAAATCTGGATAATCACTCAGAATTGATCTTGTTCTATGGCAAAGACTACTGAAATCAATCATCTAGACTTCAATAATAGACCAACTACTGAATAATGTTGACGCTACGGCCGACTTATCACTAGACATACATGTTGTTCAATAATAATTCATCAATAGCATTTGCTAGACTTTTGGCCTTTTCGATGAGGTATTAATCGATTGTACGATGTTAACACATGTCCAGAAATTGAACCTTTTAACTTAACTTAAGGTCCCTAGTTCTATTATAATGTAATGGTATCGTACTGCCAACTTGTATCGTTATGATACCAATGCACTATTTCAATGTGAATTAGGCATAGGAATTGTTTTCCTTTTCAATGGCAATTATTATTTAGTTATCATGTACTTCCATCTGGGT